CTTGTAAAGGTGCAGTGGCAGCATCGAAGGGGCTCCGAATGGACATGGGAGCCGCAGGATGAGATGCGAGAGCATTACCCCGATCTATTTGCGTCTACGGACTTCGAGGACGAAGTCTAGTCCAAGTGGGGGAGAGTTGTAACACTCCAATTCAGGTATTACCACAAAATCCCCTGGAGTTATTAACTATTACATATTAAGCCCCTTGAGTACGCTGGGCGTACTTCATGAGTACGCTTAGCGTACCACGAATAAATGAACACGGAGGGCCAGCATGTACACTGGGCGTACCAAAAGTATGCAGGGCGTACATGACGGGTGTGCAAACCCTAATTTCCGGACATGAGACCTATATAAGCATCCTTATCTCATTTGAGCTCCACCCTAAGCAACCTCCCTTACCTTAAAACGTCCCTAAAAACCCTAGAATCATTTGAGAGTGTGTTTTGAGCTTAAGGAGTGAATTTGTGGCCATTTTAGTGTCCATTCAAGAAGGAGGAGTTGCTAAAACAAGCTTGGAGTGGTTTTGGGCTTCAAGAATCTGCATCTAATTCACCTTGAGGAGCTTTTGGAGGTATAAAGCTTTGATCTTGCCATCTTATTCATTAGATCTAGCTAGGGTTTTCTATTTAGTCCCTTTAGTTGGTTTTGGACCTCCTCTTGAGAGTAGAGCAACTCTAGAGGATGAAATGGTTAGATCTGAAGTCCTTTGGTCCATTCATAGCATAAAAATGAAGTCTTGATGGGTGTTTTGACCTCATGCATGGATTAAGACCCCTGGAAAGGTCTTAATGGGTTGTTGGAAACATATGAGACATGCAAAGGCATAAAGTTGCCAACTTTATGCCCTAGGACGTCTTAATGAGCTTAGATCTGACTATTAGACGTGAGAAAATCGAGTATTAAGAACTTAATGGAAGAAAGTGCTTAATCTGTTAGTACTATGGGCGTAACTTAGTGTACGCAGCGCGTATGGCCCATGGACTCAGTACGTTGCGCGTACCAGGGTGGTACGCTAGGCGTACACATAGCAGATAGACTTGGACTTGTTTTGGGCTTGTAAGCTTTTGGGCTTTGATTAGTCATTGGGCCTGGTTATTTTTTGGATTGGTAGGCCAACTTATCTGTTTTGGGCCATGGTTTCTATGATTGGGCTTTATTGGGCCATGAGGCCCATTAATGATAATTAGACATGGACTTTGGTCCCAATAGCAAAGGAAGACTTTTGGGCAATTGTGAAAGGACGTAGGGTTTGGACTCTTTAATTGGATTGTGTTCAGTCCTAACCTTGAGTAATATTATTATTGTTCAGCACGGGTGGTTACGGACTGTTAGGAGAGCGGCTTTCGGATGCAGCAGACAAATGTGAGTCTCCTCACCATACCAATGGGTCTAAGGCACCAAGGCCGACCCATTTTATGATATGTGGTATCCTAGCTGAGATTGTATTACGTGTCATGTTAGTTGGTATGAGCTAGGAAGTATGCTAGTGGTATATGTGGTATGTTTGTATGGAAGACCATGGGAGAGCCCATGACACTTGGATGTAAGACCATGTGGAGAGCCCATGGCTTTCCTATCAAAGACCATGGGATAGCCCATGACACTTAGGCGTAAGACCATGGGAGAGCCCATGGCATCCTGTAGTAAGACCCTGGGGACGAGCCCACAACATCCCTATTTGTTGTATGCATGGCTTATGAGATATGTGTAGCTGTTATAGCTAATATGATATGTGTTATGTGGTTTGTGTGTGGGTATGCTCCGGGGAACTCACTAAACATTAGCTTACAGTTTGTGGATTCGTTTCAAGTACATCTGAGCCCAAGGGCAAGGGCAAGGCTTGATGGCGCGACGTGAACTCTCACTCGGGCATTTTTATGGGACACTCTGACATTTTGAAATAAAATTGTAATTGGCATGAGTTTTGAAAACAATTGTATTGGGATTACGTGTTCGATGATATATATTTTGGCAAATTAAAAATGAAAAATTTCTTTTGAAAATTGGGTCATTACGAGTACGCCCAACGTACTTAAGGGACTTATTATGCAATATTTAAACTTTCAAGGGCTTCAAAGGTAATACTTGATTTGGAGTGTTACAATAGGAACACGGGGACCTTTTTCAACAATATTTTTCATCTTATAGTCAATGGTTTCAAGAACCACCATGGCCTTGGTTTTCCACATGATGAAGTTGTGTTCATCGAAGGGAGGAATTTTGTTGAGACCAAAAGATTTGGAATTGCTTGAAATCAACATGATAACTTGATTGTATCACAAACCTGCTCTGATACCAATTAAAGGTTTGTGATGATCGGATACACTTCAAGTATGAATAAGAAACATAAAACTAATCTAAGCAAAATAATTGACAAAAAGTAAATACCATAGAAGTTCTCCAAATTGTTCCTTTCACCAAGAAAAGAGGTTTTGTCTTCACCAAGAAGACGAGTTTGTCATAAAGACGAATGACACAAAGCCATGAATACAACCACCACAACCACACACACAACATTAGGGTTTTCCCCAATATTGTATATATACTAATATATACATGTATATCCCTTGACTCAAGGGATTTCGTCTAATCTACTAAGAAACGATCTTATCACAAAGATACTTGATCTGTGATCTATTCTATATTTATCTATATCATTACCTAATATACAAATGATTACAATCGGGTAACTAAACTGTAAGTTGACGCTGGTGAACTTGATAAGCTGGTGCTGTCAATGTGTAGATGCTGACGTTGATAGATCAACGTGTCATGTGTTTGATTGATCATATCATAAGGTGTGACCTTAAAACAATTTCTCTTTAAGTGTCCATTTTTTTTTACATTTATAACATTTCGCGTTCGATGAACTTTTAGACTTCGATTTTGAACGTGATCTCCCTCTGTTTCCCCCTTTCCTCCCCTCTTTCCTTCCTCTCCCTGCAAACAAGCCAGAACTGGACACTTCCTCTCCAACTGAAACTTTTCAGTTCCTTGGACATCAGAGAGTCTTTCACATCATTCACAGTGATTGCTTTCCTACCATAGAGCATGGTATCAACGAAATTCGCATATGAGTTCGGAAGAGAACATAAGAGAATGAGTGTCTGATCTTCATCTTCAATCTTCACATCAACCCCTTGTAGATCCAAGATGATGTGATTGAAGTTATCCAAATGATCTTTCACTTGGGTACTTTCAGACATTCTGAGAGTGTACAACATTTGCTTCTGATACAAACTGTTCGTCAGTGAGTTGTTCTCGTACTTGTCACAAAGTTTATCCCAGAGCCCAGAAGTAGTTGTTTGATCCACGACCTCCCTCAGTACTTCATCTGTTAAGCTCAACAGAATGGCACTATGTGCCTTCATCAGAATGTCCACCTTCTTCTCAACCGCCATGTCATTTGGCAGTTTTGTCTCTCCTTCCAGTGCCGTTACACATCATTGTTGAACCAGAAGAGCTTTCATATTCACCTTCCGCAATGTGAAGTCATTTGAACCATTGAATTTCTCAAAATCAAACTTGTGAGTAGACATCTTCAATCACAGGAATACAAACCGCAACTTTGATACCACTTGTTAGGAAGTAAATCGGATAACTAGCAAAACTATAAGCACACAAGACACAATATTTACATGGTTCGGTCATGGTGACCTACGTCTACGGGCAGGAGTGAAGTATTCTTTATGTCAGAGCTCTCAAACAGAAGTTACAAATACAATTTCACAAAGATTCACCTAACACTCTAGAATTTAAGATACAAAATGACCTACCATGTATCCCTTGTCATTCTTATTCTTATGATACATATTGTTTGTGTTGAAACATAGCTATTGGTGGGTAAAAATGAAAAAAGATAGACATGTTTAAAAAATAGATCAATAAATAAATATATATATTTGTTTTCTTTTCTCTCACAGTATCACGTGAAGTCAATAGTAATCGGCTTCAAATGCTCGTAATGTAAATGGAATGGTTATAAATGTCATATTGTGATGTTTATAAAATAAGAATGTGGATGTATTTCAATTCTGTAAAGTTTAATAAACAGTTATATTATTATCATTATTATATTTTTTATACGACTTTATATAACCATTTTTTAACTTTAAGAAAATTCTAACTGTTTTTTTGTCCACCATTTCATCTAAAAAGTTCAATTAAATACGCCTTTTTTTCATTAACATGATATTCTAATATAATTAAATTTAATCCATTAAATACCAACTAAATAGTTCAATCCATTAAATATATTCGACCCTTTTTATATTGTGTTATAAAACTATGGATTGTATCTTCTAAACTATTAAATTAAACTATGGATTGTATCTTCCATTGAACTATGGATTGTGATTATTGGTTGTATCTTCTATTAGACTATGGATAAGGATTGTGATTATTGGTTGTGTATCTTCTATTAAACTATATGGATTGTGATGCTCTAACGGACCTTAGAATTGTCGGATGAATGCTTACTCACATGTACAAGTCATACACGACCATTAACCCTATAGAAAAATAACATATCCAACAAATTAAATTAAATGAAAAATAGTTTCTGGAACAAATTTAACCGAGACGCATGTAAAAAATAACTAATTAAACAGATTGAGTTGTATGAAAAATAACTTATGGAGCAAATCCAACTAAGACTCCGAGACACACCTCTTATGGGATCTTTATGTAAAACTCCAAATTTATTTCATGCATATTTGTAATTAAAAAATAACTAATTAAACAGATTGAGTTGTATGAAAAATAACTTATGGAGCAAATCCAACTAAGACTCCGAGACACACCTCTTATGGGATCTTTATGTAAAACTCCAAATTCATTTCATGCATATTTGTAATTAAAAAACTTACTGATTAGATTTATTTCACATCAAAAACCAACAATACACATAATATTCATAATCATAAAAGCAAAATAATAACTTCAAATAATCCGCCACTTCTTCCTCATAATTTACACCACCCATCAATCTGATTCGTCTATCTCAGAAGATCATTCACCCATCCAAGATCTGGACCATTTACGGGGCTGTCATTGTAAACATTCTGGCTTGAACTGCTGCTCCTCGAGAATGAAGTCGGAGTTGAATCAGACAAATCATAAACACCACCACACCCGTTGTTGAAGCACTCATCTACCCACTGTGAGTTCATATTCATATTCTCCTCCACAGTCATGGCCTCCATAGATCTCATCAGTTCAGTTAGCGACTGATTGCTGATCAGCTCATTCATCGACTCATTCTGCATACAACTGTTGTTTCCAAATTGGGTCATCCCCAACGACTCCGCTCTAGCTAGCCTGTCTGCAAATCGGGAAATAGGGGAGAACCCTGCTCCGGATCTGGCCGGAGAGAAGGGCGGAGAAGCAGGTGGTGAAAGGGAAAGGCTGTCGATATCAATGTTCAAAGTGGAGGTAGGCGAATTGATGTGATGGACACTTGAAAGGCACCGACAATGGGCACAACAATGACAAGTCTCCGAATGATGCTTCTTCACCGGAACCGTCGTCTCCGGTGGCACCACACGGAGCTGACGCGGGGTGTGAGCGAAAAAACAGATCTTGCGCTGGCAGTTCTTCCCGTCTTTGCACGCTTCAGTTCGGTAGCGAGAAGGATGTAGCCAACACTCAAAAACTCCATGAGCAAACTCACACGAATCACCACGGCTACAGCTCCCACGACGGAAGTCTGCACAGACTGTACCCAAGTAATTATATCGACGAGGACACCTCCGGCGAGCCTTTTCGCCAGGATGAGCGAAGGGACAGTCGGTCCAGTCATGAGATCGGCTACGGGTACACTTGCGAACCTTGAACTCATAAATACGGAAATGATCAGCAGAGTAGGGATCGGCATCTTCATCAGAATCCACACCGGAGTTGTAAGGCAAGAATTTCTTGAAGAGTGTTTCCTCGGGAAGAACCCTGGGAGATTCATTCTGCTGCTGATGATACATGCTGTCTATGAGGGCCTCCGGCGAGGAGGCGGAGGCACGGCGGCTGAGGAGCTTGCGGGGTGGGATATCGATGTCCCTGGGTGACTTTTTGCTGGCAAGATAGATTTGGTGGGAAGGATGGAATCTGTGTTGTTCAAGGCATCCACTTGCCATGACCTCTTCTGTGTTTTGCATGTGTGAAAGAGAGAATTAGGGTTTGAGTGAAGAAGATGAATGGAAGGAGATGGGTATTTATAGTGACAGAGAAAAAAGAGATGACGAGGACGATGTGGGTGTGCGTGGCCAAATGGTGTAAAAGGAAAGCATGCAGATGGGAGTATGTGGCAGCTCGATAGAGAGGGTATTGCATGCAAAACCAAAACACACAAACTCTAATTTTGGTTTTGGGTTAAAGTGGTTTGGTTGTTTTGTTTTTATTGTCGTCACCTTTTTATTTATTATGGTTCATGTATCGTGGTCTCGTTTTTGTATTCATGTATCGTGGTCTCGTATTTGTATTTTTCCCTCCGCATAAATGTCCAAACAAAAATATTACTCTATCTGTAAAATTTAAAGTGTTTTTATCTTACTTTTGGTAAAAGAATATAATATAAATATATATAGAGTAAAATAGATGCAAGGAATAAGTAAATATTGTCTTTTTGCATATGTTTAAGCTATCAACGTGAAAAAGATAAATAGCAGTCTAGAACATATACAAAGTGAAATGGATGAATATACTTGAGTAATGATTTTGACTATAAAATGATCAAATGTCGGGTTAATAAAACTTGTAATTATTTTCATTCACGTTCTTTTTGATTAAGGCAAATCTTATTTAAGTAGTTAGAAGCTAAAGGAGAAATTAGAAAGGTTATGAAAAAAAAAATGAAAAAAAGTATAATGGTTGACTGTTTAAATGAAACCAATAAAAAAAATCAAAAATAGGATTTGAAACTCTTGATTTATGCATCGTTATTGCCAAAAGAATTTGTTGGTGATTTTATCACCAAATATATTTTAGTGTAATGGACTTAACAAGTGTTTCAAGAATAATGTTTTTAGTTATAATACAAGTTAGGAGGTGCGGGAGTGCACACTTGTATTTACTAAACATTGTTAGTACCGAACCCTAATCTACTGTGTCAAGTCGGGGGATAAGTTCGGGAAAAGGACGACTCCTTTGAAAGATGTAAACTGTTCTCGTTTATCCGTTGAGTGGATAAGTCCGGGAAAAGGACGACTCCTTTGAAACACAGAAAACTGGAAACGTCTTCTTCTTCATCTTCCTCTCAAAATTGATTCTGATTTTGGTGCCTAAGATCAGAATTGTTACATCAGGAATTATCCCAGTTTGGATTTCGTGACACCCAAGGCATTTAGGGTCGAAATATCAAACAAGGAAAGTGTTTACACGATTCCTGTTTGTGATCCAGATTTTCTATAACCCTATTTCGATTCCCCAACAGAATTAAGATGCTTCACTTAAAATATTTAAAGTAGTTTACAATTTATATTTTTAATAATCTTTTATATAAAAAAAAGGTGGTTCACATGACCCATCTTTGATGTACATAGCCTTGTCACTATACTGAAGCATCGACTGATGCTCTCTTTCGACGTTCGTCGCTAAGAGATTGAGAGAGAAATCAACTTTGTGTGCGCTGTTGCAATTGAAGCATCGATTGATACTCTCATTCAGGTTAAACCCTATGCCGACGATAAATCTTCGGTATATGTTTAATGAATACTATGTCGTTTTTATTATCTGACAATAAAATTAGAAAACTTATATGTGCCGACGACATGTCGTCGGGACAGAGTTTCATGCGGATAGTCACATTATATGTTGATGACATGTTGGGATTGCTTCCGAAAAAACGATGTTATTTCTATTTTCTACGCCACTTAATATAATTAAATAAAAATGATAATTTACGCAACCTATACGGATGACATGTCGTCGGTATAGGTTTTCAGAAACCGCATAAATTATTTTCCGTTTGATCTGAATATATGGCGACGACAAGTCGTCGGCATATGTTTGCAGGTTAAATTAAGTTGGTGAACCCTGTCCCGACGACAAGTCGTCGTCATAGCGTCCTTTGTCCCGACGATAAGTGTCGTCGGCATAGATGTCGTCTCTGTACATTCTTGTAGTGACGTAATGTTGATTGAAGTGGATGAGATGTTTGCTTGTGGTAACTAACGTGGCCTCTATTGTTGGCGGAAGACATTATCCCCATTAGCCATAGAGTTCATAGTCAAGTGAGAACGACAAATTTTTTGTTGTCATCTTTCTTCTCTGTACCGTCAACACCACACTATGATGGAGGCAATGACATGACATGGAAGACATCAAAGTTGTCAAAATCGCGATCTTGATCATAGGATCATACGATCTTAGGTATGAAAATTGAGTCGGATCATATATAGATTTTATCTAGGGTAGGATCGTAGAATCAGGATCCGATCCGATCCCAACTTCCCTTGATTTTTTTTGAAAAATTAAAAAAATAAATAAATATCATAAAAAAAATTGAATTTAGCACTTTATGACTTCTACTCTTTACCGGTTTACTGTTTATTTTTATTTTTTTTGTGACTAATATTTAGAAATTTTGAACGGAAAACTAAATATTGGAGATATTTTTCATGTTTTGAACTTATAATTTAAAATTATGTTTTTTTGTAGGATTTTTAGATCTTGATATCGATCTTGTAAACCCAAAAACAATCTTACATGTCGATGTTAACAACCTTAAAAGTTTACAAAACAATCTTACATCCCGATGTTAACAACCTTGAAAGGGTTTAAAGTAAAATTTAGGTGGAACACTATATTGGCACCATACCTATTCAACCTAAAAGGTTAGGTCTTATAATATTCCTGTTGTGGATCCAATAAAAATATAAAGACCAACCTTATTTTAAAGGGTCCACAAAATATTTCTAACAGAAAAATGACATTTTAAATTGTTCTTCATGAAGGATGTACACATCTAAAATATCTTTTATATAGTGACCTTAGTGTTAGTGATTAGGGTTTAGGCCCAAACCCTTTATGGTTTAGATTAGGTATTTTATGTATTCATATTTATATGAGGTTTAACCTCATTATTTATCAATGAAGCATTCTATTATATAACATGGTATCAGATATCTAGGTTAAAATCATACTTCTGACCACAACCCGCTATTGCCGCTCTCCACCTCCGACGAGATTCTCTCATAGTCATCGGAGGTGCCTTCATTATTCTTCATATTCTCTTCGTTCGTTTTTTTCTCTCATCCTAAATAATAAAACAGCCACCGACACCAAACTATAGCTCTTACATCGGTTTCTTCTACTGCCTCGTTTGCTTATGTTTCCTCATCGGATGGCTCCTGCTCTAAGCTTTCTGCCTTCTCCTTAACTTGCATCTTCTTCAGATCTATTTTCCGAGTCAGTCGGAATAGGCTCTGTCCGCTGCAGCTCGAGCCCTCTTTCTTTCTCGCTGCTTTTCTCTGGACTCCTCTACCGTCAACTTGATGATCTTCGCCGCCGCCACTCCTCTCTTCTTATACAAAGGAACCGTTTCCCCTGGCCACCGCTTCTTCTTTCTCCTTCTCCAATGAGCAGTTGGTGTTAGCCGTCATCGTTAGAATTCTGCCACCTTCGATGCAGATGTCTTCATTTATGTTATGGTTTATGTTTTTTGTTTTTCCAATTTAATTGTCCCCTCCCGATCAAACTGCGGGGGGGATGTTAGTGATTAGGGTTTAGGCCCAAACCCTTTAGGGTTTAGATTAGGTATTTTATGTATTTCTGTTTATATGAGGTTTAACCTCATTATTTATCAATGAAGCATTCAATTATATAACACTTAGAATACTTATTTGCTTCGTTGCTACATAATATACTATAATTATATTTGGTCTTTAGATATGTTAAAATAATTAAAAATAAATTATATAATAAAATCAGAATATTTTTTAAGTTATTCACTTTTAGATTTTAAAAAAATAAAAAATTACACAAATAGCTAACATAAAATTTGATGAATATACGGTTACTAATCATAAAAACATCTTTAAATTAAAACATCAAACACATAACTATATGTTGAGTCAAGAAATATTGAATTTGATGATGTGATAATTCTGATTGAGAAGGTGTTGAAGTAATAGATAGAGAATTTGTGTTGTCTATATCAAATGTGAAGAACCTTTGATATATCTATCTAATTTAGTGTGAACATTGTGTTATTTACATTACTATTTGATTCATGTTGATTGCTCTTAATTTTGCAATGTCATTTCCATTGAATCTTACATGTGGTATCAGAGCTTAATCTTGAAGGTTTAAACAACTATTTCAAGAACAATATCCTAAATGACAATTTGATCTCGTGAATCTCACATCGATCTCTGAGTGTAGTAAGTATTCTGTTTTTGGAAGGAATTCTTGTTTTAGAAATCAAATTTTATTCTTTGATTCATTCAGATTCGATTTTCTCTCTCTAGAACATTTTTTAGATCTTGTTTTCTTATTCAAAAATTCATTCATATATGTTATTTATTCGTGTCTTAGAAACAATTTTGTTGAAGAGATTCATCTTTTGTTCATAGATTCATTCTAAATCTCTTAGAATCCGTTTATGATCTTCTTTCTCTTTCTAGAATTCATTTTCATATTCGTTTTCTTTCCCGAGAAATATTTAAGATCTTGTGATCTTTTCGTTTTCTGATCTGAAATGGAAGAAGCAATTAAGGAGGAATGGTTTGTATTGGAAAGAGGTTATCCTCATGCCTACACCTTTGAAGAAATTCTTTATTCCTTGGCTGTTGGATTCATTAAAGAATATTCATTCATTTCTTCTGGTGAAAAGGATAATCATAGAGAATTAATCGGTTATCCTCTTGATCACGAAAACCGTAAATTTTTGCTTGATCGATTGATTTCTACTTATCATGAGAGAAGAAGGAATAAGAAAGAAAGAGAAGTCACTAGAGGAATTTGTCTTGATTCATGTACATATGGTTTCAATGTGCTTGCAAATTATTCAGATGTTCATGAAGTTCATAAAGGTGTTCTTGAAGATGTTCTTAGTGTTCATCATGTTCTTGAGGTTCCATAAAAATAGATAACTCCAAATGATCATGTTGATGGGGAGTCAAGTGTTTTAGCAAAGTCTTGTGATTTAGAGGCCTTA